CGCTAGCTGGGCCAGGCGCCAAAGGGCTCGGGATCGGATCGGCCAGTGATCCCGTCGGTCTGCATGACGGTCTACAGGCCGTGGAATCGCATTTCTTGACTTTAGGGAATGCATCGGTGCCATTTTGGTTTTTGGCAAGAAGTTGGCTTTGTTCCGCTGAACTTGGTCAGGGCACGCGCCGTGTATGGGCGGCTCTGAGGCGCATTCCCTCCGCACCTCCACCGGCTGACTCACTGTGCGCCTCCACCGGCTTGGACGTGCCGCACATACGCAGCAACTTTGGCTAGGACAGCAACATGGCCCTCTCTGCCTTTGAAATTTTAGATGAGGTTTGTCAACGAGAAAGCGATCGACTGGCCGACCCTGTTGTGCGGAGCAGGCCCGATCCTGCTATGTGCTCAGCTTGCTGGCCCTTCTTTTTTTCCTGTCACGCGTTAGCTGGATCAGGCCATCAACTCGCTCCAAGACGAGCTGCGTCGGGTGCGCGCGGGGGCTGATGCTCAGGGTTCTGAAAACATCATTTCTGAAGAGGACACGCAGACGCCGTCGGCATTGCCTACAGCCACTGATTCCATCGCCTCCGTCAAATGGCTCTGTCAAGCTCTGGAAAACGCTTTCCGTCACAATTTAATGAACAAGTGAGCTTGGCCTCGCTCATATCACCAGTGCGAGCTGAACTGATGGGTACGACCATCTGACCCTGACCTGGCATCTGCTCTAGGACCTCCTTCTTTGGTGCTGCGCGTGACTACTACGATGTGTTTGCCGCCGGCGCCAAGCAGCGCCCCCAGGTCAAGGAGGCCAACCACTTTCGCACCAGCCAAGGCAAGGGGCGGTGCTTGATTCGCTCACTTCTTACTGACGGCGTCTTGGCCGAGTGCTGCCAGGAGCTATGTGGTCAGCAGAAGCTCTTGCACAGCCAGTACAACGATGGCGCCATCCTGCGCGATGACAAGATGCAAGGGCAACTCCTCGACCAACTCTACAATCTGACCCCGCTCCAGTTCGCCCTGCCCAGCCGAGGCTTGTCCTTGGATGAGGATTGGCCCTCCACCGTCCTTGCCAGCTCGATTCAGACCAAGCCAGAGCCAAGACAGAACCACCTTTCCATGTCGCAGCCCGAGTATGATGAGGAGGACGCCGGCCCAGGCTCAGCCACGGTACCGAGAGCCCAATTTGACGCCCAGCACACAGAATTACGCGATCTTCAAGCTGCACATGAAGAGGCCCAGCAAAAGCTCCAGAAACTACAGGTGCAGCTGCAAGAGCAATCTTCAAAGTTGACCGAGCAGGGGCAGCGCCTGGAACACACCACCAATGAAGCAGCGGGCCTCCGCTATCAGCTTGACAGCCGACAACGGGCCGGCTCTGAGCTGGAGCAACGTCTCGCCGCCACAGAGGTCGAACTACAAACCGCCCGACAAGACAGCCAAGAGCGCGCAAACGAATTGCGGACACTGCGTGAGGAGCTGGCCAACGAACGCCAGCAGCGTCAACAGGCCCAGCAGGCTCAGCAGGCTGCTGAACAAGCTTTTGATAATCAAGCACAGACCCTGACTGCGACACAGGCTGAAGCCTCTAATTTCCGCCAGGAATTGGCAGTCTGCCAAGCAGAGCTCAAGGCCGTGACGGAGAGTCGGCAGCAGTCACAGCAGACCTTGGAGGGTCGCGAGCGGGAGCTGAAAGACGCGCTCGGAGAGGCTCAAAGCGAACGAGAGCGGCTTCGCACAGACTTGGCTGCTGCTCAGGGTCAGGTACGGGAGCTGCAGTCCATGCAGACCAGTCTTCGAGAGCAACTGCAGCAGCGTCGAACCGAGTTGGAAAGCCGCGATGCTGCCCACGCCGCACAGATTGCAGAGTCACGCAACGCGTTGGAGGCCGCGCGTGGCCAGGCGGCGGAGCTGGAGACGGCACGTGCGCGTCTCGAGGCCACCCTCGAATCACTCGAGGCGCGCGCAGCAGCCGACCGCGCAGAGCTCAACAAGACCCAGAACAGCTCCCATGAGCACACTGGCCGCCTGCAGAGCGAGCATAAACGGGAGCTGGAGCAGCTTCGTCAACATCATCGTGAGCAGCTGGACTCACTGCAGACGACGCACAAGCAGGAGGTCGAGCAACTTCACACAAGTCACAAACAAGAGCTTGTACAGGCCAAGGCTGACCACAAGGCCGAGCTGGATCGAGCTTTGTCCAAGGCGGATCAAGCCCAGACGACACACAAAGAAGAGCTTGCGCAGGTACAGGCCAGGCTCGACCAAGCTCAGACAGCTCATCAAAAGAGTCAAGAGCAGGCTCAGGCCCGACACCAGGCCCTTCTCGAGAAAATGCAGTCCTCGCACAAGGCTGAGCTGGAAAAACTGCGTGCAGTGCAGCAGGAGCAGCTGGACAAAGCGCACACGGCGCAACGGAGCAGCGAGGCCGAGTTGCGAGCGGCCACCGCCGAGCTCAAAGGCGAGCAAAGTGCTAGGGCAGTGGCGGAGCAGGAGAGCCGACAGCTTCAGCAGCAATTGACCAAGGATAATGAGTGGCTGCGCGACGAGCTGCGGCAAGCGCGTGAGGCTCACTCACAGACGGCGGATGGCCAAGCCGCAGCCCTCAATGAGCTCAAAGATAGCGCGCATCGCCTGGAACTGGAAAAGCAGCGCTTAGACTCGGAGCTCAGTGAGGCCAGCCGACAACTGGCAGTAGTACGCCAGGAACTCACGGCCCAAGCCCAAGAGCTGGTCACCACACGAGAGGAGGCAGTGCAGGCACAGCAGGTTGCCGAGGCCCGGGTAGAAGCTTTGACAACTGAACTAACCAATGCTCAAGAGCGGGCCCAAACGCTTGAGGCTCTTGTTGCCGACTTGAAGGCAGAACAGACACAGACGCTCGAGCTCCACGCAGCTGGCGATAAGCGTGCTGCAGCGCAAGCTCAAGAGCAGGCATCTCGTCTGGTTGAGCTGGAGAAACAGCTGGAGGAAGCCAAAACCTCACGTGACGCCGCCGAGGCCACTGCACAGCAAGCTCAGCACGATCTACAAAACGTGCGCGAGACATTGTCGTCCCAACTTGCATCACAGCAAGCCGAAGGCCAGGAAGAGCTACTGCGTCGGGAAGCTGAGGTTGCAGAGCTGAACGCTACAGGAAACTTCCGACGCGCTTGGACAAACTCGCCAGGAAGTCAAGCAAGCCCGTGGCCGGGCAGACAAGAGCGAGGATGCGTTGNCAGGGGCACGGGCCGAAGTTGAGGCCCTGCGGGCCCGTATCGAGGAAGTGGGCCAGCAGCATGGTACGGAGCGCCAGCAGGTGGAAGCAGATCGCGATGCACTGCAGCGGCGCGTACAAGAGCTGGAGGACGGGGGTCAACAGTTGCGTGACGAGCGGGCAACTCTGCAAGCGGCAGTCACATCTGCAACCGAGGAGCGCAACCGCCTCGAGGCGCATCGCGACACGCTGCAATTACAATGCGAAAAGTTGGAGGAACAAGTTCAGCAAGCTCTTGTCAAGCATGAGGAGACTGCAAAACAATTGAGCAAGGTCGAGAAGGAGGTTGATACACTCGCCCAACAGCGACAAGGCTTGGAGGCTCAGCTGCACGAAGCGCAGGCCGCGAGGGATGACGTGCACGAGCAGCTTCTCGCTGCCAATGCACGTGTGGCAGCACAGCAAACCGATTTGAAGGAGCTTCAAGAGGCGCAGACTAGCGCCGTTGAGCGCTGCAACCAGCTTGAAGCAGACCTGCAAGCGGCACGCGAAGAGCACGCGGCCGCGTCCAAGCAGTACACTGAGATGGCCGAGCAGACATTGGCTCAGCAAAAGGCTGAGACAAACCGTTTATCCACTCAGCTTGAGACTGCCGTGCAGCGCCAGGAAGAGCTCGCGCGCCTGCAGACTGAGCTTGAAAATGAGAAGGCAGCACTAACATCTCAAGTGGCCGAGTTGACCACAAGCTTGACAAATTCTCAGGAGCAGATGAAATCCCAAGCCACTCAAATCGCGCAGCAGCAGGCCGATATAGCCGACTTCAAGGCAAAACTGCAAGATGCAAAACTCGAGACAGATCGTCTGTCAGGTGAGCTGGCAGCAGCGCACAAGCAGGTTGCTCAAGTGGAGGAGCAAGCCAAGGCGGAGAAGGACGCGGCGGAGACCAGAGTGGCCGAGGCTGCGCGTACACAGGAGCAGCTGCAGGTCGCGGCCCAAACGGAGCAAGCCGACTTGACTCGACAGCTGGAGGATGCACAGAGTGCACTGGAGGCCGCGCGGACGGAGGCGACGCAGCTACAGGCTCGTGTTACTGCGCTGGAGACAGAGGCTGCAACCCGAGACGAGCAGCTTCTTGACAAGCGTCGCTCTTACGCAGAACTGCAATCGCGCTGCGAGGTAGCGGAGAACAACATCCAGGAACTGACTGCAACCATGGCCGAGCTCGAGAGTGCACGTGATGCGGCACTGGCGCAAGCCACAGAGCAGAAAGAAACTGTGGAGGCGCTGCAGCAGCAGATCCAGGCCGGCACCGATCGCGTGGCTGAGCTCGAGGCGGCTATGCAAGGCAAAGAAGCAACGTTGGTGGAGCGTGAGGCTGAGCTGAGCCAAGTGCAAAAGGAGCTCAAAGCTGCTCAACAGAGTGTGGCGCAAGCCCAGTTGGAGGCGCAAACAGCCGCGGCCGACACGAGCAACTTGCGACGTGAAGTCAAGGCATTGCAAGAAGATTTGGACGCCGCGCGTGAAGCTGACGGGGAGTTGCAGCCAGAGTTGGAGCGCTTGCGTGCAAGCGTCTCCGAACATGAGGCAGCAGCGGTGGCAGCACGGGAGCAATTGAGTCAGCTGGAGTCCCGTAGCGAGGAGCAGCAACGGCAGTTGGCTGAGCATGCAACGGCCTTGGGTGCCACTCAGACTGAGCTGGTCACGGCACGGTCCGAGTTGGGCGCAGCACAGGCAGCACTTGAGTCACTCGAAGGACAGCAGGCCGAGACCACTCGTGCATTGGCGCAGGCCCAGGAAGAGGTGCAGGCAGCACAAGCAAATCGGCGCGAGCTTCAAGAGGAGCGACAAGCTGCCACGGTCAAGCTCAAACTGGCAGAAACTCGTTTGCGCGACGAGCAAACCGGCTGGGCCACACGGCAGGCTGAGCTTGAAGCCGAGGCTAGGTCCGCCGAAGAAAAGCTGGCGAGGGTGCAACAGGAGATGGATCGAGCACAGATTGAAGCTGCCGAGCAAGCCCGCGAGCTCAATTCCCTGCGTGAGTTACAGGCCAAGCAGGCGGAGACGCTTGGGGCCCGAGTGCGAGAGTTGGAGCTGGCCAAAGATCAAGCGGAAGAGCAGCTTGAACCTCTGTTGCGCGCCAAGGAGCAAGGTTCGCGTTTTGTTGACAAGTAGCTCGTTGCGCCTTCCCCCCCCCCCCCCCCC